TTTGTGTATTATTTAATGATTGCATTACATATTGTTCATTTGATAATGTTAATGATAATTCATAGATAGGTTTATTTGTTATGCAGTCGAAAGATGTGAACTGTTGATGTAACATTGTCTGGAATCGTTGTGCAATTATACAAACTGTCTCAACGCTGAATAAATCAAGTGAAGCATCGATTACACATGAGAATTCATTTAGATTCAGATCATGTTGAAAACTAAGAATAAAATCAAATTTACTCATTATTTCATCTTCACTAATCTTAATTGAAAAAGGTAGTAAAGAAAGTCGACTATCACCGATCATTATTTCATCTTCCTCATCTCTTCTTATAGATGATACAAAGTCAAATGATGTATCAAGAAATACACGATTTGATATATTTGGATGTTGATTGAGAATACGTTGAAGAGGAAAATAAGAGTACTTCATACAACTTATCATGATATCTTGAACGTGCTTAGTGATTTTATCAAGTGATAAATGAGGATCGAGTTGACATCGCAAAGGTATAGCATTCACAAACATTCCAATAATAGATCTAAATTCATCTCTATATCGACCATGTGTATTTATTCCAATGCATAAATCTGTTTCTCCATTCGTTAATTTGAATAAAAGCACATAATAAGTAGTAAGTGCAAGTTGTTCCAGTGATATGTTATTTGATGATGCATGCAGAAGAAAGTCATGTGAAAGATCTTGACCAAAATCAAAAGAAATAGATGTTCCACGACCAGTTCGATGTTCATTTGCAAGACGATATCGATCATATGGTAAAGATAAAGATTGATCAAGTTTACAATCATGAAGAGCATCAAGCCAAAACATGTTTGCACCAGTCATTGACATTTGTTGTTCAATAACAGCATCTATTATATAATCGAAGAAGGTAATGTATTAGAAAAGAAAATAATATAAGAACTATTTATATTTACAATCAAGATAACGGAGATTAGTGTTGTCATCATATAACAATTGACCTGTTGTATACGCTTGATTGAGATCACGAAGAAATATTTCCATCGATGGAAAATCAAATAGAGCATGATGAAAGTTGAAGATAAGTAGATCTTTGTGAGAAAGCAGATGATTTGAAGAGATTTGCTTGTAGTAAACAAGATGACATCGAAAGACAACACCTTGAGCTAGATCAAAAAGACGAGGATAACCTTTCTCGTCATGTAATATCTCATTCAATTGTTCATCTGTTTCATAAGTAGTTTCGATGATTAAAAACATATCAGTGTAGTTATCTTTCCGTGTAATAACTCGTTGCATCAGTTGATTCAATTCTGTATCAAAGATAAGTGATGTACGAAGTGAGAGATGCTTGTCAATAGTGAACTGTAGAGCTTGATGAAGTTGTTTAACGGATAAGGTATGACCTGATTGAAGGCGATGAACAAATGGCATATTATAGATTGCTACTTGTGGCTTCTCTGGATCGAATCGAATTCGTTCATCAAGCCAAATACGAGCTTGTGCAAATGATGCTGGTGCTATATGAAAGAAAAAGCAATGAAATATGAATAATAATATCCCTTGTGAAAATTTGTTTTTGTGTGATTTTCAATCGTCATCGAAGTGCTCTAAGAAAGAAACTTTTAAATAGTATAATTTATGTTGCTGTTTACGAGAGACATGTGTGCTACTATACTAATCATTCATTAGAAACTTGAAATAAGCAGACAAATGAAATAGAGGTTAGACATAAGTTCCACCAGTGACACACATGTTTATTTTCAGCGAAAAAAAGACGCTTGAGTCAAAAATGCTAGCTGTCAAAATGAAAAAAACATAAATCGTAAGACATTTCACACCATTACATAGCCATCTATAGGAATAACTATCTGGAATGATGAATATATGTCATCATATATGAGAAAAATCGTGAGGATGGGTGTGCGTGTGGGTAGGTATATGAATAAAGAATCTACGTTCGCATCCACTCATAGTCACACACTCACCCTATGACTAAGCACCGGTTCTCGGATAATTCGAACGATATAGGAACATATCTGCAGCGATCTTTGTATATAATGTATTGATTATCGATGTAAATATTAATTAAGAAAACCTTTATGTCTAGTTAAACATACCTTCGTTTATAATATGTGATTGTCGACAAAAGATGATATATTCCATTTCTCGAGTTTCTTCTGGTAGAATAAGATTAATTTTCCATATAGAAGTGCAACATATATCAATTGCATTCATATTTCCATTTAATGAAAAAAGTTGCTGAACACAATATTCTAGCCTTTGACCTATATTTGTAACTGTAGTTTCATCAAACAGATCATGTGAACAAGTTAAACGAAATGATAATCTACTATTTTCCATCATCGGATTATAGACAAACATTAACATAAAATCGAACTTAGCCACTTCAAACGATCGTTCCAGTGACACTTGCTTGAAAATTGCTCCATCCAAAGATAGCTCATCGTTGTGTGACGATATAGTAATAAAGTCATACATTGTTTCAAGAAATGAAATATTTGATTGATTAATATGTAAATTAGCAAGAATATGTTGAAGTGGATAATGTGAATGTTCAAGAATTGATAAACAGTTTTCTCGTACATATTTAACAAGCTCATCAAATGACCATTGAGGATCAAGTTGAATACGATATGGTAATGTTGAAACAAACATTCCCATTATATTCTGTAGTTCAGTTTTGTATCGATTAGCATTAAGACAAGAAATACATAAATCATTTTCACCATGAGTTAACTTGAACAGAAAAGCATATAATATACACAGACCTAACTGAAATGGTGTCACATGGTGGATAGAAGCATAATCAAGAAATAGTTGTGAAATTTTATTGTCGAAAGAGATTTGAGTGACAGAAGCAGAACTCGATCGATGATCATTAGACAAACGATGTTGATCAGCTGGTAATAATAATCGAGATTCCAAATTGTATCCTTCTAATTGTAAATCCCAAAATTCACGAGATGTTGTCATATCAATTAGACGTTCATGTATACTATAATCAATATATTGCAATGATTCATCATCATCTTCTATTGATATTGCATTAGTATTATAAGCTAAACATAGATCATTCAAAAAGATTGAACGACTTGATCGATCAAATGCTGCATGATGAAAAGCAATGAGAAGAACATCAGAATTAGTTATGAACTCGTTGCTGGTATTTTCATGTTCGTTTAATAATATTTGATGTTTCAGAATTTCAGCATGAAAGACACGACCAGTTGATAAATCGAAGAGATGAGGATTGGTAGTTGTTTGATAAATAATATCTCGAAGTTCGTTTTCATTTTCAAATGTTTGATTCATAGTTATTGTGAATGTTTTATGTATATCTGTGATGCATTGTTTCAAACTGCTATTTTCATTGCTAAATATAAGAGATGTCCGTAATATTCTATGTTTATTCAAAACATATCGAAATGCTTGTAATAAACGATTGAATGATAATGATCCTTGAACAACTTGTAAAGTCGACAGTTCATTATAAATAGCAATATCACTCGAAAAACGAACTTGTACATCAAGAAAGATACGTTCTTGAGCAAAAGAGGCAATAGCTATCAATTAAATAACAGAATTTATTTTAATAATTTCCTAGTAAACACTTTTACCTTCATTTATATGTAACGTGTACCATTGTGTTGTCTTGATATTATTCATTATAACTGTTTGAAGTAGTTGTGAATGTTGACAAATAGTTGGTTGTTGAAGAAATGGAGCAATCGAAAGTGTATGAGCATCAAAGTTGAATACTGATTGATAGTGATGATAAAGTTCAATAAATAACAGTGAGTGACCACCAGCACTGAAAAAGCTGGTAGTTCTAGGAATGTGGTTTTCGTTAGAATGAAGAACTTGACACCAAATAGAGAATATACGTCCTTCAACCTGATTAAGAGGAGTATCGGATTCATCGGAAGATAACAAAGTTGATAAAGAAAAGTCGGGTGAAGGAAGTTGTTTTCGGTCTATTTTTCCATTTGGATTCAAAGGCAATGTATCAAGAATGATAAAGAGAGATGGAATCATATGTGGTGGAAGATGAGATTGACAATGTTCACGTAGTTGTTCTTCATTGATATGGGACGATTGAACATATGCAACTAAATAATCATCATTCCATTTCATCACAACACAAGCAGAGATGGATGTGATGTTAAGTAGGCATCGTTCTATTTCACCAAGTTCGATTCTTTGTCCATGTAGTTTGATTTGATGATCTTTTCTTCCTTGATAATGAAGAAGACCATTGTTATCCATTGTAATAAGATCACCTGTTTGATAAAATAGTTTACCATCTATCTCGACAAGAGCGTTTGCTGTCAAGTCATCACGTCCAAGATAACCTGGAAAGACACCTAATCCTCCCACTAGTAGTTCTCCTTCTTCCTGAATCATAATAGGTTGCAAGAAGTTGCTTAGAAGTAAACATATGTAACGAGGTAGTGGTTTGCCAATTGGAAGATTATGCAGGTTAGAGGCTACATCAAGTAGGTGGCACGAAGTTCCAAGTGTGGCTTCTGCAGGGCCATAAAGATTCCAAATTCGACAGGATTTGACAACAAACTGCATCAGTATTTTGATGAAAGCTGATGACACAGATTCGCCTACGATAACAAATTAATCAATATATATTATATTTCGCGTGCTCTTGCTGAACTTACCGACGCAGTTAATATTTCTCATTAGTATCCATGGAGGAAATCTATTTTGTTTGTGGAAGTCACATAAATGATTGAGATAAGTCGAAACCGCTACCAGATATGTCACTTGTTTGTCATGTAAAATATGGTTGATATATTGAAAATCCATATTACCTTGTGGATGTAGCATAACTATTGTTGCCCCACAGATTAGAGATCCTACAATTTCCAGTATATGCGCGTCGAACGTTGAACTAGCTATTTGAATCGTAACATCGTCTTCGTGTAGTGCATCAATCCGAACGAAACCTAATATTGAATTGATGAAGTTCTCCTGCCTCAGTTGAACCTAGAAAACAACTTCTAGTATCAAATATACATTATGTGATAATCTCTCTATCGTACCGCTTTCGGAATTCCAGTTGAACCACTAGTGAATATAGTATAGGCTATCTCTTCACCTTTCATTATCACACTTGAAAGACAACTATAATCTACGTCACTTTTCCGATCATTCATAATTAATATTGAATCAATGTCACGTGAAATAGTGTAATCATCAAATTTGGTCTTAGTTAGGTAATGAACAAGAACAAGACGACTTTGTGTTTGCTGTGTAAGTGCATACAAACGATGTTGTGGATCTCGAGATGATAATGGACAATAAACGCCACCAGCCATCTCGATTCCTATAATACCAATCACCTAATCAAAGATAAATCTCAGACTCTGTTCAATAGTTACTCATCTTATTCAACTTACCATTGACAAACTTCGCTCAACACACTGACAAACTATTTCACCTGGTGTGATTTGATGTTCATCAAGAAGAGTTGAAGATAAAACTTGAACATAATGTAAGAGTTCACAATACGTTAATGATTGTTCATCAAGTTCAACAGCTAGTTTTTGTGGATGTTTCATTACTTGATACACAAATTCATGATGAATACAAGCGAAAGGAGAAGATGAAAATGATGTTTGTGTATTATTTAATGATTGCATTACATATTGTTCATTTGATAAT